GCTGCKGGCACAGCCCTAGAGCAGCACTAGAGCCATTTGCAAATCTGACAGTGGTTTCTACAGCAACCCTTTCCCCCCCAGGCATTTAACTGCTCTAGAGCACACTGGTCTACATCTGGAAAAGTGACTATTTCAGGTAAAAAAAGGGATTTCTCACTCGTCCCCCCTCAGGGCAGCAGGCTGACAGTGAGGTGCCCCAAGGCAGCTGCTGCAATACAGCSTCCCAAACCCCAGCTTAAACTTAGGCAAAGCTGTGGTGGGAGACAGGGCTTTCCGCATCCGCAACAGTCACAGGATCTTAGATCTGTCCTGAAAGGACACTCCAGCAGACATTATTTCCCATTTCTACAGCTGAACTCAGAGACAACATTTCACCTTATCACACATACAGAARTCAGCACTGCTCAGGTGGGGAGAAAGTCCCAGCAGTGGTCTTGAAGCAATTAASAGAAAACCAGTTAATATGAACATTGTTATATTACTCATTACAATGCAGGTAGATTACTCCCTACTTAAGATGTGGACTAAAAGGGGAGAAATATTTTTTATATTTTTGCCATACCATAATAGGCACCCAACAATTATAGCACAAAGCAAATAGCAGCATATTCCCCCCTCTAGCACATATAGCCAATCTCAAAAGACTCATCTTCTCACAATCTCCTCAAAATTACTGTACACAAATAAAAATATTAAAAGGACATAGGTACCAGTGATTCAGAGTGATCCTATCCAGCTTGTGTTTTTAAAAATAGCCTAAGTCGCACCAGATTTTTGTTTCATTCTTACTAGCATGTTCAGACTTGTCTCAAACTGAGCCTCACTGAAACCTATGGCAATTTTGCCTTCAGCAGAAGAGGAAATTCAGTCTTGGTTCAGGCAGATTGAAGTCTCCAGAGTAAATAACCCAAAGGGTGTTCAAGGGCAGACCCTCATATTACCACTATGAGCATCTAAAGTGAGCTTAGAGCTGTCCCTTTCCAAACTCTATCCGCACCATGGGATAGACCAGACCTGGTGACACTTTGGAGACCTGAACCCCAMAAGCACCAGCTCGGCTCCCTCCTGCCTTGGGATCATACCGCCATGGCCAAGCCCCAGGCAGACAAACCACACAGCAGACAAAGAGCCCTCCAAAACCCCGTTCTGGCTGGCAGCAACAGGAGCAGGAAGCACCAGAAGGTCCAAGAACCTCCCGTGGTCCCTTCTGCATCTCAAGGACCGGGACATCAGGCCCTGCCACACAACCAGACTCGCTCACATCTCTGAGTCCTTCCCAGCTCGCGCTGCCGTGGTCGAGCAGCCCGCRCTCCTCAGCCGCGGCGCCGCTGAGCGCAGCCCCCTCGCACATGGCACCCAAGCCCCACCATGAATAGGCTGGCTCCTGTTTTCAGCAAGAGTCACTGATGTCACTTAGGCTGGCATCAAGGCAATATGTCTTTATTTCCTCCCCGCTCCAAACTCCAGGTACAGGGAAAAAGAGAGAAATATTATCCTCCATGTAACGTGTTAATTTAAAGCCTGGCACATTGGCTTTAACAGGCGCGAGCTGCATTCAATCCTGAAGACTTTGTGCAAAGCTCTTCCAAGCTGACCTGGGCAGTCAATGGTACCCGAGTAACCATGGCAGCACGTTCAAACAACACCAAATAAATCCAGGAGTGGAACGTGTAAACTGGGGATCTTAGGGAAAGGCAGCAGGTTTGCTGACGTGCACGGGAGCAGAGTTACAGCTCCTCGTCGCCGAGACACAGAGGGCTACATCCAGAAGTCCCGGGGGGGTAAGTGAAAATACCAGCATAGCCACCAAATTTGGATGCCAATACAGCATTATCCGAGTAAATCCAGCAACCAAAACACGTCTGGAAGCCCCCAGAACTGTTGGATATCTGTGCCCACCACATTTCCTCAACTGGCAGGTCACAAAGAGCTTGTAAGTGTCATTTTTCCATTTGGCAAGAAACCCCCACAGGCCAGAAGCCCCGCATACATCACACTCACTATTGGTTTCYAGACGTATTATACTCACAGCATGGAGATATTTACCCCCTGCTAATATCCCTGGAGCTGGCAGGAGCTCTAAGAACTTAGAAGCCTCAAAATAAAACTAATTAATGCACTGCTGTAAATCACTTGCTCTCGTAGGAAGATAGGCAYTCTGCTAACAGTAAGAAACAACTTACTTTAATGGAAAAAAAAAAAAAGGATTTGCCAATACACATCTGTATTTTATTATAGGTGTTTATCAGCCACTTACAACTGATCATAAAGCAATCAATCTGACTTGTTAGAAAAGGCAACAAAAAGACACCCTAGTCTAAAACACAGCACTCTGCTGCTGCCAGCTACACCACCCCTGGAAAACAAATCGGTGTGTGCTTCATTCCGAGAGTCACAAACTCTCTGCAGAGGAATCTCACACTAAATCAAGCAGACTGCCTCTCCTAAGACCTCTTTGCAGGTCGCTACAGGGATAGAAGAAGGTGGAAGTCAACAACCTCCTTCTAGCTTCGAGTCAAACACAGCACGGCAAGATTTCTAATGAAGACAGGCAGCAACGTCAACTATAACCATGAAACTGAGAGTTGTGGCAAGCCACCTGCCCAGCTAGTGCTGTTACCCAGGAGGTTTTAGTCTATTCTTTCAGGCTCCCTTTAACCAAGTTCCCTTCTGCCTGTGGGGCTCAGAAGGCAGCTTGTTTTTGACACAAGTCTGAACTATCAGCTCTGCTGCAAGGGTGTAAGGATTGGATTTTAGGTTAATCTCAAAGCTGGTTCCAGGCACTTTGAAAACAAGATGGGAGAGAAGTTAAAAGCCTCACAAGCCCTTCTAAGAAATATTCACCCAGTTACCTCTCTGAATACTTATGCATTCATTATTGGTAGGATTATTATTAATCTTTATTATAATAAGCATCCAAGAAGTCCAGTAGGGAACTCAGTATTCAAAAGCATAAGACTTCTACAAGGATTTCTTACTCAGAATAAGAGCACATGACGTGCCACAGCTCTAGGGACTGTCTTTTTCAGGGTGAGGTCTGCTCTCAATGAGCTAGAAGCTGCCCAGCAGCACTGCAAGCACTGGGGGAATTGAAGGCTGTCTTGTAACTTCCACACCCCATAAACAGTAGAAGTGCTGGAATACAGTAATATTTACTCCTGTTTTGCCATCTGTTTATATATGTATGTACATAAAACCTGTGACTCCCAGAATATGTAGCAGCAGAATAAGAGCCATAGCTTTTCATTGCAACATAAAAAGTATAAAAAAAAATCCCAGAAAACAAAAAACACTCAGTTTCAGTGAAAAAACGTAGTATTGCATGAAAGACCAAAGAAAACACATAGTAAAATATAGAAAAACCTGCTCAATGGATCACATATTGCTTATCCTTAGCTTTTACTAAAGAGTCAACATCTTTAAGAAAACAGCAATAAAACAACCCCCACAACAACAACAGTTTGGTTATGTAACCAGTCCAAAACAAAGCAAAACCCCCCAAGGACCAAGCTGTTTATCTTTAGCAGAGACAGAGCCATCCCAGGTCAAAGGAAGATTATAACAGCATGGATGTCCCCAAACACCCTCTCACCTGAGCATTTTGATGCGCCTTGATAAAAGCAACTGTATTGACTTCYGCACACTGAAGAGAGATCCATCACACTCTGCAGCTCAGCCTTTTCATCCCATCCTTTGCAGAAGCAGAGCAGAGCTGAAGAGAACAACAGCCAAACCACTCACCAGCAACAGCSAACTAAGAGCATCCCAGTCAGGCTGGCGCAGGTGTCCCATATGAAGCACTCAGTGCCCCCACCCACAGCAGCTCCTGCYGCACCTGCAGCCTCTCACACAGGTGTTTAGTGTTAATATCACACATAAAGACAAACCTAAGACTGAGATGGCATTTAAATAACTCTCCAAGAAAGGATCAGCACAGCTAGTTGGCAGGGAAAGACCCTCTGCCTCCCTCAAATGAGGAATGATACAAACACTCAGTGTTGGACCACTTGTAAAAAGCAGAGACCTGATCTATGGGAAAACACTTGGGGCAAACTTTGCAGCGGAGATTTGAGGCTATTCTGGGACAGGTGTGAAGGCTGTTTCCTGAGAGGGAAGATTTCAGTACAGAATTCCAGCTTCCTGGTCCTAACAGCTTATGTAGGGGGGAAAAAAATGATTAAAAGCTTCACGCCAAACCCTCCCTGTGTGCAGAGGGTACCTTAGAGCTGCAGCACTGGCTCTCTTGGGGAGAAGGAGCCACGAAACTTTGGGTTTACAGAGCAGAACATTCAGTTTCTTGTCAGATCCTGTGGATACCACTTTACACTCAGACCTTGTGGATACCACTTTACAACCTGCACAGCCACAGTGACTTTGCTATCACCTTACAACAACTAATTCCATTTTGTTTGCTAAGCTGTTCTTTTTATACTGTTTGGAGACACTTAAGTCACCTAAAACCACTACACCTGCTCAGAGCAGATCAGATCACTACCATTAGAAATAAGGCACATGTTTGTGTGTATATCTATATAAATATGAGCTTATTCCCTTCATTCCATTCCAGAGAAACTGCCACATCTCAAGCCACCCCACTAGAACAGTGCTAGGACACTCAGCCCCTCACATCAGTGGCAGCAGACAGGTCTTCCTCTCGTACAGCTCTGCTTCTAGGAGACTACAAAGATGCCAACAAAACTCCTAGCAACTCTGAAAGAGGATCCAGTGTCTTGTTTGACTGTAAAAGGAATTAAAGACTCATTTTACAGTGCATTTTTAATTAAAACTTCATTGTAAGAATTTTCTTTTAAGAACAATGTACTACATATCAATGGAAATATGTAACTTTATCCTACAAATGGGACTTYCACCATTTATTCTTACAGTTCAAAACATATGAAAAATAAAATATGATATATAGCTTTATAAATCTCCCCACCCCCTTTTAAATCCTTTTTCTTTAAAATAACAAAAGTATCAACTCTTTCCTGGTACAGTGCATTTGCTATCTGCGAGCCACAAACCAAGTAGTCACATCAATGCCAAGAAAACAGCAACATTGTTTGCAAAATATTCAGAGAAAATGATAAAAAAGTAGTAGCCGGCCCAGTGCTTACAGAAGAGACAATCAACAAGAATTGAAAAAACAGCACATCTTCATATTACATAGGACCATTATAACACAGAAAACATTACAGAAGACTCAGGCTGGAAAAATATATAGTGATTCTCAGCAAGCAGAAACTGAACTTTGGCACTTGCTCATAAAAAGGCCTTTCAAAACAAAACTGAAATTCACTTAATCACAGCTTGTATACTTCAAAAATAAAGACATAGACTAAAACGAGAGAAACAATAGAGAAGTGTTTACAAGTCAGGTCACCGCAAATTCAATACATTCAGCCTACAGAAAATACAAAGAAAATCATTCATCCATCCACCTATATGGGAAGCCTGGCTAAGGAAAGAGAGGTTTGGGGACCGAGCCTCACCYGAAGCATCTCTTGAGTTCAGTGAAGCTAAGTTCATTACACAAGCAAGGAATCCAGCCCTTCTTTGAATTTAACTAGAATGGCATTTACATCAAATATATCACCCTCTGCCATAAAACAAGGATTTCTGATGCACTGAAAAGCAAGACCATTGTACTCCCAATAGCAGCTGTTCTGCTCTACCCATGGTTGAGCTATGCCGCTGTAGTATAGGAATTAGATAATTTCTTTAAAAAGAGCTTAAAAAAACAAAAGTATTTGCTTGAATTCAAAGGGGGGAAGATAGAAGGACGGGAGATCCACTTTTAGCCTGTTAATCTTAGTGCTTTGTCAGCACTGCGTGTTATCAAAAGGAGAACTACAGGTAACACATACAAGGCTGCTCCCCGTGCCTGTCAGGACTGATGCACTGAACTACAACCCCACAGGTTACTGCAAAAAGCCCATGTTGGACCAGGCTGTAGGAGAGTAAGGGCTGCTCTAGCTAAGAGGTGCATCTTTCATCGTGAGGCTCAGTGCCCCAAACCACCAGTTCTCTTTGCATCCAGGCAGCTCGCTCCGTTTTTTTTTTTATTCCTCAGAGGAATTAGGGAAGGGCAGAGAGAGAAAAATAAGTGCTTTAGATTGCACAAAAGATTGTCCTACTAAAAAGGGGCACTTAAATGGGAAAGGATCACGGCTATAAATCTAGCAGGCGCTCTTCACATGTCTCCACAGGCCACTTAGTTGCACCTCCAAACACATCAACGTTATTATCAACCCAGGGTATGATGTTGCCAGGCATGTTGGTAGAGCAGTTGGCAATGTTCATGATGTCTTCGGCTTTTAAGACCCTGTCCCATATATTGAATTGGCTCATCTCCCCCACGAAGGCTTGAGTTGCATCAAATCTTCCTCCTACTGTGTCCTTTAGGCACATAAGAATTAGGATTAGATGAGCAGGTTATTCCAGCATTTTCTTCTTCAAACTTGAAAATCCTCCCCCCACAGCAACCCTGCTAGAAGCAAGCGAAAAGAGCAGAGCCAGACCACACAGACAAGCGACTCCAAGCTTCTAGAAGGACCATTTTGAAGAAGACATTTAAAGCAGACATTTAAAAGCTCAAGGCTGAAATGTGCACGTCAAAGCAGTTCAAGGCAGGCAGTAGCGACTGCATCCTACCTACCACAGAAAAGCTGCCCCCCAAGCAGCCAAGCGGCTTCAAAAGCAGAGGTTGAAGTAGGACCCATTTTGGGAGCCTTGCACAGAACTTCAGTGAGAATTACACAGATGAACAGCATTACCCCAAAAGCTTTAGGGATAGATGTCTGGACAGAAGACAAACTTTTGGCTCTAAATACACAGACTTCTGCTGCCCATTCCAGATCAGTTACTCCAAGAGTTACTGCATAAGCCTCAAAGGTTTATTTGCTCTACCCACTACTTAAGGGCCCAGATCCACCTTGTGTGGTCGCACTAATGTAGAACTGATAGCACAGCACAGAGCCAAGCACAGCACAGCCAAGCTGTATGACAGTTACAGAAATGCTCCCCCAGCCCTTTAAAATTGAAATGGAGCATCCGCTTTGCACATTCAAAAGCCTAATGCACAGCGTTAAATATCATTTATTTATGGTAGGGATGAGGATCTACTGAACTYCTGACTAAAATTACTGGTCACCCTGTTGTTAATGTGGAAATTCTGGAGAGTTTATTTCCTACTATTTATTATGACCACTGTTTTTTTGATAGAAGTATCAAGGTATATATTGATATGCAAGGATGGGAAGATAAAACAACGATTGAATAGTCACATAGTTTGTAATAATAGTTTAGTGAGATGTAGCATTACTAAACAAATATTAAACAAGAGTCGGATTTCAAAATCCTCTCTTTCACATTATTCAGAAAGGATTCATCCTCAGCCTCAAAGTTGGCCGCAGCCRACTTTGTATTAGCTCTACCAAAATTCAGACATTAATGTTTGCACTGGAAAACTTCACATATTTTAATCAAAAAACAAACATAATGCAGACTTCATACTTTGACTATAGATGTCCCTTTAGAGAACAACTTTAAAATTAGTGACACAGACTCCACTGCTCTAAAGCTTTTCAGACAATTGTAGCACAATTCTCCCTAGCAGACACACCTATAGAAGATGGTGACAGACCCACAAGCACTACCAGGCTCTCTGGTCTGTTCTGGGCATCTAGAAATAACATTTGACTATGATAATGATAAKAAGGCTGAGGGGCAGCAGAAGAAAAAAAAAATACACGGCCACCTACTAATATGTATGGGCAACTTGGCTTAAAACACAACCACTAAGTAAGGCGTGCACATGGCCCACCCTCAGACAGCTCCTTTTCCACTGCACTCATATACACTTAACAGATATGGCCAATGCTGTCTTTTTCATGGCCAGTTTTAAGCAATTTTGTTCAAATGACTCTATTTAAAGTATTAGTCAGATCACTGATGAAGTTTCACACSGTAACATGAAGACTGGGAATACTTGCAACATGAATATCCTGAATATTTAATAAATGAAACAAAACACAAGGTGTGTAGTTGCATCAAGCAGTATTTGCTGCTTTGTCATTTTTTCTTCCTGATACCAGATAGCACCAAGACCAAGGACTCAGTACAAATGGGAGATCGGTTTCTTTGGGAACTTACATTTTTATTGAGTCTTTTTTTTTAAACCCTTGGAACACTCCAAGGGTTTCACTCACCTGCTCCTGACCGAGGATGAGGACGCCTCCAGGTTTAATCGGGTGCCACGGAGCTAGATTCTCTCCAGTGCCAAGCTTCTCTCCATCCTGGAACGCCTCCCACATGCCATCTCTGGTTGTCCACGTTACACATATATGATGCCATTTTCCATCACTAACAAAGAGAGGGAGCTGGGCAACCTACCAAAAGAATAAATAAAGTCTAGCAATGTAACCACAGCTTTTATCTACTCTGTCCTCAGATGCATAAACCGAAGCAGAAGTTAGTTCCCATTCAAATCTTTATTTTGTCCCAGTTGATAATGCCTGATAATCATCTTCACAATTTTCTATGTGAAGGTACTGGAAATTCAAGAGTACAGGATGCTTTTTATTCCAGCTGTGAGCCACTTTATTCCAGCTGTAATCAAATGACAAAAGTGCCAGTCTAAGCTGCTATCAGTCTACTGATACTGCAAGTTAATCTACAGCATCTGTTGGTACTAAAGTTTCTTGGCTTAGCCCTAAGTTCCATTGGATTTTCATGCTGGAGTTTCTCTGCAGGCCAGGGTAGCACTTGCAGGTAGCACTGACAAGTAGATCTGTCTGCTCCCAGTAAAGATTGTGGGAGCTGTATGTAAGGCGGCCAAAGAGCAGGAATTAAACTCCTTCAGGAACTTGATCTAAAACTCACTCAAGGCAGCATGGACACAGAGGCAGTGGCCTATGGAGTAGTTCTATAGAACAGTAGATAAATAACAAAAAAACATTTAGGTTCACACTAGTGAAGCTACTCCTAGCATTAAGACAACAGATAGAATATTGAGCAGAAAGTTACAGCTAAGGAAGACTCAAGTTTCCTTTTCTTCCACAAATCACTGAAAACAACCACCTTTCGCTGTTATTGATTGGAGAAGATGGAAGGACCACTAGGAGCCCTTAACTAGCCACGTGACTGAATAACCTGCGTTTATGCCACAGCTTCGTAAACACCTGAACCCCAGAGAGCAGCGAGTTCCCAGGAAACCTCTCAGGCCAAGGAACCCAGGGGATGGTGCCCRAAGGCAAATAAGTTATGCTACAATGCTGCCTGGATAGGTTAYGAAGCTAGTTTTGCTTCTATTTATTCAAAACAAGGAATTTAGCCAAAATCAGTTGTTTATATTTCATAACTAGCCCAAACTGAAAGTGAAGAAAATAGAAATATTTATAATTTGTTTTAATGATAAACTTCAGCAGTTCTGGTTTAATTCTGAAGCTTATAGGAAACCACCACTGGTGTGAATTTGTGAGGGATAATTATTTGCTGCTTTTTTCAACTATAAACACTCTGAAAAAATGCACTTAAAGACTTCAATGTATCAAAACCAATCCCAGCTGATTTTTGCCATACTTTGTGCCAGATTTTAACATATCTAGACTTTTAGTATTAGAAAAATACTGCAGTTGGATAAAACAGGCTTTGCAATAATGTAGTTTTTWAAAAAAAGAGTTATTTCTTGAATTTTTTTTCTGAAACAGAAAGGATTCAAGCACAGAAAGTCTTACTATTTCAGAGGATGAGCATAAGTTTGTGCTCACCTAAATATCCCCCGCTCTTGCCTCAAGCAAAACACAAATCTAAGTAACCACTTGACTTTCAGAGTACTTTTGTCAACTTGCAAGAAATATAGACAGTTGAGAAAGAACATGTACACTTCTTCATCTCAAAAGCCCCGAGCTGGAAAGAATCAGGGAGAATAAGGTGCCAGGGAGGTATCTAGAGATGAAGAAAAAAACAGCTATTCTGACCATGTAACCCACAAGGAAAGTTGTTGGTTCTCACCTTATCATTAATTAGAAGTTCAATTGGATTATTCCCCCATTCTATGAGGACAATTTCATTAGCTTGACCAGGAACAGCATATGAGAATGGAGTGCCAATTCCAGGAGAAGCACTTGATCTCAACCACAAGCACACGGTGAAAGCATAGAGCTCTGGCAGAGTCTTCTTGATCTTCCCATATAAATAGTTCGTGCGAAGAGGAAGAGACACTTTGAATTCATCAGGTGATTTAAACGCACTATTGCCTAGAATTACATGGAAGAAAAAAAGGTTAACATTTACTTTAATGTTTACTTTATTTTGGGCTAAGAAAAGAATATTTGATATTATCTAACTTGATTCACTTTACAGAAAGTAGACAAAACTACACTCAAGAAATATTTTTAAAACTTCATTTTGCAGCACAATTCAATATAGGAATCTATATATTCATCATACTAATTACTTAGCTGCTTCTTACCTGCTCTTCCAGAGAAAAAAAGTGGCATGCCACTAAACAGAGGCTGTTAAATATTTTCCCTCTTCCTTGCTCAGTCTGTGGCTGGAGGCCTTCTCATTTCACACCATTCAAACCATTTTAAAGACATTCATTGATATGCAGGAGATTCTCTGGTAGGCTCATTACTAAAACAGTTMAAAAATACCATATTTCTTCCTACCATTTCTGAACAGTCATCTAGCACCATTATTCTCAATTTACAGATAGCTAGCAGAGAATCAGGTCGACTCTCTCCTTTTGAATGGCCAATCTGGAATAACCAAAGCAGACACTACAGAACACTTAGCAGAATCAAACTCAGTATAACCAATCTCCATCTCCATTCTATAGACAACTAAAGAATTGAATCAAAATGTAAAGCTAAAGTCAAAATGACATCAACAAAAGTGCAATAATTTTGTAAGCTAACTAAAAAACAAACAACAGCAAAACAGCAAAAAATAAGCATAACTAATAAACAGCAAAAAATAAGAATACTATTTTCTTTTCCTAGCAAATGACAGAAATCCGGGAAGATTCCGAAGAGATTTTTATGAAATTGAGAACTTGGATCAAGACTTTATAGTGAGCTGCAACACTTTGCATGACATAGTTGTTTGTATGTATACAAACTATCAGCAATAGTATAGTTTTGTAAAGTAAAAATAAAGGGAAGAAAAATCTCACACTGTAGCACAATATCAAACCCTATGGTTCTGCAGCAGGCTTAGCCCATCTCCCTGAGTCTTCGGTTCTTCTGTCTCCTACCCATTTCCTTTACTCACATCCCTGAAACAAATCTCATCCTCTTGCCGTATTTCACACCATGATGCTGATGAAGATCTGTTGTCGCAAAAGGTTGCYATGATTTTCATATGTAATTATCATTATCTGCTCCCATTATCAGAAGCAGCTAAGGCGTTTTGACTGCATTTTTCACAGAAAGAGAGGGTAGAAGAAAAATGATGCTTGTCTGATGCTTGCATCTGTCTTGATGAACTTGTAAACCGAGAACTGAAATATTCCAAACTTACAAGTAAATGAAAGTGTCATCTTAGGTATTTCAGCAACCTCCACTAGGCTGGCACAACTAATCTCAAATATGAGGAAAGGAAATAGATAGGCTAGTAAATAGAAATGCAATAGAAAAACTCCATTAGGAATATTAGCCACGGTGTGAAAAARTTAAGGAAGCAAGAACAAATCGGACATGAGCAAAACCACTCTTCTTGTTATATTGCCTTCTCTTTACTTGAAAACACCCAAAACTCCCAGTAGTAACATTCTCCGTTTCTGGGCAATAGGCACATGCAGTGTGACAGTTATTTTCCCAAAGGATGTGAGCTATTTTTAGACAAGAAATGTAAGAAATAGTGTTACTCCCTCTTGGAAAGGCACAACAGATTTCAAGATAGCTGGAGACTCATCCACATCTCCAGCCAAGCAGGGAAGAAAACTGAAGCCCAGGCAACATCAACTGCAGGTCATTCTTCCACTCAGTTCAGCTTTTTTAATGCATCGTTCACCACACAAGTTGGAGACAATTGGTGAAGAAGTTAAAGACTTTGGGAATCATGACAGTTGTACAAACTGTACAAAGTATTATTTGGCTGAACTTTGCAATCTAGAAATCAGTAAGTTTTGATTATTATCCCTACTTTCAGGTGTCTGAGGAACCAAAGGCACAGAACAGCACAGCAAATTSTATTTAAATAGACAGCTAACTACGCAATCGAAAAAAGGCCCACATCTCAGTTCCTGGCCCAAATTCTTCCAGTCTTTGGAGACTAGTAGGAAGACAGCCCCCTCTCCCAACACAGAAAGATGCTAGTGGGAAGGGGCTATTTTTAACCTAGGTAATTACACATCCTTGTTCTGATTCTCCCACCACTGCCTCTTTCTGATGACTTACCAACATGAGTCACTTCTTTCAGAGATGAGGACTAGCAATACTTGTCACATAAGGCATATTAACAGATTACTAGTTTACTAGAAATTTAGCTGCAGTTTGGGTTTTCTCTTAGCTCTTAGGAAAGCAATAAATGACAAAGCTGTTAGAAGATCTCTTCTTCCTCCTTACTTTTCCCCACGCTTCACACTTTTTAAATGGAAATAATACCTACTGTATTATACAAATGGATCCATTAAGCTGCGCTTTAAAATTCATGAGCTACGTATGTCTACATCCTTTTGAAAGCATGTCCATTAAGTTGCTTTTAAGCAGAGGGCCCATTCACCTTGGGAAATCATTTAAGAGCGGCAGGATTAGACAGTAGCATTTAGTGGTACTCTAGTTACCACAATCCACAATATGCTCCACTCTGTGGGAATACATTACCAATATTGATAGTCCTGTTCTATAGCTCAATTCCATGAGCATTCAGGATTCAAATCAACTGACTCTACTTATGCATGCARATCTCAATAATTAACCTACATAATGAATTAAATGGCTAGAATTAAGGAAGTGTCCCCCACTGGCACCATGTGTAATCTACTGTAAGCTCTAAAGGCTGCTTATGTGGGAAAGGACACAGCTGGAGGGTCGGCAGTAACTCAAGGTACAGCCAACAACAAAAAAGAAASATTTTATCCCACTTGCTTCTAAAACAGCAGATAAGAGTTCTGGTGTAAGATCGTATTCATTACTTCCAAAGCAGTTGTGCTAATTAAGTTTAGTTCGTGTTAAGCTTAACATTTCAGTTTATTTGAAGCAAGGCAGCTCTGCTTAGAGGTATACATGACATTAGTAGGTATTTGTGACACCACTGTCATACTTCCCTCTATTCCCACCCACCTCCTTATAGACCTTTTCATCCCGCAAGTGCTACAACATTCACCTTCACAGCCCACACAGTTACATGTGCCAAGGGAAGACAGGAAACCTAGGGCATGCAGAGCCTGTCAAGCAGGAGCTCTGTGACAAAAAGCAAAAACAGAATCCAAATATTTATACTGTCACCTATTTAGCATATAGAAATGTGCTGCAACATCAGGAAGGGGCTGTGTTTCCTTCAAGATACACATTCAGATGACTGTACTGGAAGAGCTAATTGATCAATACAGAGAGCCACTCCGATTCTGTATAATTACCTTTTTCTAGTTCGGATACTCTTTCTAGCAACGCATTCAAGGCTGTCTCTGTCTTCTGCCTGTGGGCTGAGGTCTCGTTGTGAAGCAGAGACTTTTCATCCTCAAGCTCGGCCACTTTGGTCAGGAGTTGGCGCTCCAGGTCCCCAAGCCTCCGCTGCAGCATCTCTCGGAGCTCCGGAGGCAGCGCTGCGTAGGACACGTTGGCCCGGAGCTGGTGCTTTGGGGGAAAAGAAAAAGAAGCTTATGCTATTCCTATACGAGAAATTGTAAAATCCTTATGCCTCAAGAGGAAGAAAGGTCACCAAGATCTCCAGCAACTACAGAAGAGACATTGCCTTTTTGCCCTGGTCATGGTCACTGCTTTTATCAGCACTGTACCCAAAGAAGACCTCAACCTTTAATAAAGGTTTGCTGTGTCATGTATCAAAGACTCTTCATACATTTGTGTTCAATAAAGAAAAATCAATGTAGGAAGACAGCTGCAAATAGTCTCCATATTTATGATGATACAGTGTGCAACATGTAAGTTTAGCTTCACTTACTGCAAATGATGCTATTAGCCTAACTCAACAGAAAAACACTTCTTTAAAACAAGAAGTTGAACTACTAAAACACATTTACTAAACGAAAGTTCACTCAGTTTTGGTTTGTCAAGCAGTGAGCCAGATATTCTTGAGCTCAACTAGAAATACTACCCAATTTGATTGTTTTTATTGATCTGAAAATAGAAAATAGGTCTATTTCTCAAGTATGACCAATACTGTCCACATTATTCTCATCACATTTCACTTCCCCAGTCCTAAGATGTAATGCTAATAGGAGAAGCCTCACAAAGAGAGTAGTGGTATTAAAAGGACGCTATGCAGGATCAAAAAAACTGTACTTGGAAAAAAAAAATCCACTTCATCCATATCTTCTAACAGAGGAACCCATAGGAAGCTGCTCTAAATCCTCCCAGCATAAGTCAATCCTTGGAGATCTCTGGAGACACATGCAGTGCTCATGGTCTGAAAAATGAGGCAACAACCAACACCGTTTCTGTCACTACAGTTTCTAGCACAGCTTTTCTTTCCTGTGAGGGCCACTCCATCAAGGCAACAATCCAACGGCTCTTGGAAACCATTTATGAGCAGGCTTGGACCAAAGGCCCTTTATTTTCACACAATTATTCAGCACCACGTTGGTGCTGCTGGAGGCCAGCTCTAAATAAGGCAGCTTGCCTTTGTCCAGCACCATATGCTAGAGTCTTATTGCCCGAGATGGCAGCTTTACACCTAAACCCTGGGAAGCTGCATTCCCAGGAACAGGGATTTGGGTGTATTAGCACAGAAACCGAGCTGGCAACAATCAGGAATGCCACACATCTTCCACGGGTGGGATGGGTTGCAGGGAAGAACCTTTCTGCCCCCTTCCCTGTTAAGACAAAGGGATGAAGACCAAGAGAAGGTCACAACCCACCCGCACAACCCTCTCCCCACACTTGGGAGCCTGGACATGGCACAGCTCCATAGGGGGATGCTGCCCCAGTCCACACTGGAGGAGGACTTGGGCTCCGTGGCAGAAACCTCGCTTCCTGAGCACGGACCTACCTCGAGGCTCTCCAGACGGTCCTTCAGGGTCTGCATGGTGCGGCTCAGCTGGTCGATGACCTGCGCCGGGTCCCGCGGCAGGTCTCCCATGGTGTCCTTGCCCTTGGACAGCTCCTTCCTCCAGGCTGCCGTGCCGCCCTTGCCGTCGGTGCCCTCGCAGCGGCTCAGCTTGCCCGTGAGCTCGCGGATGGCGTCGCGCTGGCTGCCGATGGTCTCCTTCTGCTGCAGGACGGTCTCCCGCAGCTGCAGCACCGTGGCCCGCAGCTCCTCCTCGGGGGGCAGCGCGCCGCCCTGCATGGGCACCGGGCAGCCGGCGCCGGCCGCGTCCAGCGGCAGCGAGGTGCACACGAAGCGGCTGCCCGGCGGGCTTTCCGAGTCGCCCACGGCGGCCGYGCGGCCGCCCGCGGCCACGGCGAGCAGCAGCCCCGCTACCACAGGCAACATCGCGGTCGCTTGGRTGGGCACGGGCGCATAGGGAGGCGGAGGCGACGCCGGGGCAGCGCGCTCCGTCCGCAGCCCCGACCGGCGCTCCCGGCGCTGCTCTGACGGTGGGTCCGGCGCGGCGGKCCCGGCTGGCGCGGCCGCCCTGTCGC